TCATTTAACCTCTACATGACTACCTACGATTAAGGTCATTTTAACTCTACATGACTACCTAACGATTAGGTCATTTAACTCTACATGACTACCTAACGATTAGGTCATTTAACTCTACATGACTACCTAACGATTAGGTCATTTAACTCTACATGACTACCTAACGATTAGGTCTTTTTACTCTGCATGACTACCTAAATATTAGGTCATTTTACTCTCCAGACTACCTAATGATTAGGTCATATTACTTTCATGACTAACTTACGATTAGGTCATTGTGTTGTGCATGACTATCTAACATTTAGGACATTTTACTCTGCATGACTACCTAACGATTAGGTCATTGTGTTGTGCAGGAGTCCCTAACGATTAGGTCCTTTTACTTTCTAGGCTACCTAACGATTAGGTCATTTTACACTGCATGACTACCTAACGATTAGGTCATTTAACTCTACATGACTACCTAACGATTAGGTCATTTAACTCTTCATGACTACCTAACGATTAGGTCATTTAACTCTACATGACTACCTAACGATTAGATCTTTTAACTCTGCATGACTACCTAACGATTAGGTCATTTACTCTACATGACTACCTAACGATTAGGTCATTTAACTCTGCATGACTACCTAACGATTAGGTCATTTAACTCTGCATGACTACCTAACGATTAGGTCTTTGTACTCTACATGACAACCTAACGATTAGGTCTTTATACTCTGCATGACAACCTAACGATTAGGTCTTTATTCTCTGCATGACTACCTAACGATTAAATCATTGTAATCTACATGACTACCTAACGATTAGGTGATTGTAATCTACATGACTACTTAACGATTAGGTCATTTAACTCTGCATGACTACTTAACGATTAGGTCTTTGTACTCAACATGACTACCTAAAGATTAGGTCTTTTTACTCTACATGACTACCTAACGATTAGCTCTTTGTACTCTGCATGGCTACCTGACGATTAGGTCTTTGTACTATGCATGACTACCTAAATATTAGGTCATTTTACTCTCCAGACTACCTAATGATTAGGTCATATTACTTTCATGACTAACTTACGATTAGGTCATTGTGTTGTGCATGACTATCTAACATTTAGGTCATTTTACTCTGCATGACTACCTAACGATTAGGTCATTGTGTTGTGCAGGAGTCCCTAACGATTAGGTCCTTTTACTTTCTAGGCTACCTAACGATTAGGTCATTTTACACTGCATGACTACCTAACGATTAGGTCATTTTACACTGCATGACTACCTAACGATTAAGTCTTTTAACTCTGCAGGACTACCTAAAGATTAGGTCTTTGTACTCTGTTGGCATGGTTATCTACCTATTATCTATCACTGCATTATGTTTGCATGGCTGCCTAAAGACCAGGTCCTTATACCTATCATCACTGCAAAGCGACAATTTTGTTTAACATCTCTGAAAGGTCAGAGACAGAATTTGTTATTATGAAACCAGATTGCGAACTATGCGCTGACTAACGGTTTAGCGTTGGGTGATTAGGGGATCTGAACGGTATTGAACACTCGAAGGAAATAAAAAAGAATAAAGGGCTTTTTTCCCACGCCTTTAGGCTGTTAGGAATATAGGGCTAAATCTATATTTTATAGACCAAACAGCACTTGGTGGGTGATGTGGTCAGCATCACGCTGGCCGCCTTTACCTCCCAGGACTGCACCTGGTACTCACTTAAGGCTGGTTTGAACTGGAAGCCAAGGTCATTTAAAAAGAAAAAACGAACCCACGACCTTTCGACCCACAGCCAAGAGTCTAGTCGCAAAACAACGGCGACTCCCTCGGAGGATAGACGCATCAGAAATATAATATCTTTTTCTTAAACCATCGGTATGAAAAAGACTACTGAAGATGGGATAGGACGGTTATGGTAATGTCCGGCTCAATGTAATGTCGGACCTTAAATCAATCAACCAAGTACAAAGGTCTTCCAAGAGATTATAAGTAAACTAGTACTTACCGCAGTCTGTAGACTTGCTGTGTAGCTCTGTATCATTTGGCTTCTTGAACATCGTGTTGAACAGAACATTCATCACGTCATCACCTGTGGATACAGACAAGAAGAAATAAAAATAAAAATAAACAAGTAACTGAAATAGTGAGAACACAAACAATATCTTGCGAACGTGTTACCATGAATACACTGTACTTCTCCGCAATCCCGTCCGGTGTTTACTACCCTATTTACATCCTGATCTTTAAATTAAAAAAAAAAAAAAAAAAACAGAAGTTCGAACATCCCCCCCCCCCCCCAAAAAAAAACTGCATCGGAGGAAGAAGGGGATAGAGAATGGAAAAAAGGGACACAAATGGTGTTGGGGTGAGGGGGGGGGGGGGGAGTATATTAACAGGAAAGGGGCAAAGGGAAGGGTTGATAAATGATACAAAATATCATGAATTGGAAAAGAGGTCCAGTACTAATAGGAGCTGTGTAGAAAGAAAAAACAATCACAAAACAAAAAAGTGGGGGAAAAAAGCGAAAGAGGAGAAACTTCCAACCAGAATTCAGCATAATCTACACATCGTGAGCCAGCATGACCCTGCAGGGAATGCTATTGTTTATTCTAAGGAAAAATGTTTTACATTTCTGTGTGCCATTTTGTTTCTGGCCTGGCTCAACACTGTCACTTCCGTTTGATGCCATAAACGTGGGGTTCTCTGTATACAGATGGTTTGAGACGCCTGACATTAATGGATTTAGATGTCATTATAGAAGACAATCAAGGTTCTTCTTTTTCTTTTTCTTTTTCTTCTTCTTCTTCTTCTTTTTTTTTTCTTCTTCTTCTTTTTCTTCTTTCCCTTCTTCTTCTTCTTCTTCTTCTTCTTCTTCTTCTTCTTCTTCTTCTTCTTCTTCTTCTTCTTCTTCTTCTTCTTCTTCTTCTTCTTCTTCTTCTTCTCTTTTTCTCCTTCTTCTTCTTCTTCTTCTTCTTCTTCTTCTTCTTCTTCTTCTTCTTCTTCTTCTTCTTCTTCTTCTTCTTATACTTCTTCTTCTTCTTCCTCTTTCTCTTCTTCTTTGTCTTCTTCTGCTTTTCTTTCTTCTCAGAATTAACTGGATGTAGCCTCTGGTGAAAAGTTTTGGTTATTTCAAGATTCGGATCTTTTTCCATGACTACAGTTTTGCGTGCATATTCGTTTTACAGATCTGGCTTAAATGGTGCAGACTTCTGATTTAACACACACACACCACTGATGTACTCTGACATAGAAGGAAGCAGGACTAATTAGTTGCGCCCTACGATATGTTCCGCTTGGAGACAGTGGGTCTATTCGTTCCTCCATAAAATGAGGCTTTGGAACCACAACTGTGAAAGGTTTCAATTGGTTCAGAAAATACTTAACAGGAAGAACATGTATAGCAGTGAATGCCATTCGTAGAGCCATGAGAGAGAAGTATAATATATAATAAGTGCCTATAATTTCTTGTTGTTTATCTACTGAGTATACTGTTTCAAAAGCGTCGTAGGTTCTCGACGATTTAGAAAAAATGTGAGAATATCGTGGGTTAAACAAGAAGGCGAGAGGATCAACTTCATTGTACCAAATTTCATCCCATCTATCACGGCCTTTCTCTATTTAAGTTGCTTACTGAGAGTGGGGAGGGAGGGGAAGGACACACACGCCACAGTTCCAGCGACGATCTATGCAGTTCTCTGTAAAATCTCGTGAAACATTTTCACAACCTTCAGAGCGCGAGGCAAGTGGTTCGACCAGTTTGATACGGAGACCCCAGTGTCGTGCATTAAGAAGGCGAAGAGTAATGACTGCCCACACATGTAGGAGACAATCTAAGTTCCTTTTTAATGAACGAGAAGTTAAACCCTTGAGTCCATTGTGGGAACTGGCATTTGGAGGGGAAGAGACCAGAAGAAGACAAAGAAAGAAGATGCTTGGCAGCATGCATAGGGTACCACACACAGTGTTTGCGTAAGAAAGTACTGAAAGTACATGAGCCAGAAGGCTATGGAAAGACGTGACTGACAGCCCCCGTTAGGTATGCACTTTGAAAAGTTTTTAAAAAAAAAAGACCTTTTGCCCGCCTTCAGGCGTATTGGGTATTCCGGCTAGCTGGGTGATGTGTTTAACATTACACCGGCCACCTTTGCTTCCCAGGACTGTACTTCGTACCCACTCAAGGTTGGGTCGATCTAGAAGCCAAGGTCATTTCTTTTTTCAAATCCAACCCCTGCCAGGACCCGAACTCACGACTTTCCGGTCTGGAGTCGAGCGTCCAGCTGCTAGAACAATGCTGCTCCCTCAGGAAAGAGAAGAGAACGAAACAATGGTGACACTCTACAGCAGAGGTGGGTGACGTCAAACATGCGATCGTATCAACAGAAAGCAGGTTTGCAGTTCCTTCTGAGAGTAGTTGATTGGAGAATTATTCTTTTCTTCTTCATCTTAGCTTTCACAACTACAAACTTAGGCGGAAAGTTCTGGCTGTTTGTCAGCTTTTGAATTGTGGTCTTGTCAGGAACTTAAGCTCATTCCAAAACTTGAGGCTTATTCCAAAACTTGAGGCTTATTCCAAAACTTGAGGCTTATTCCAAAACTTGAGGCTTATTCCAAAACTTGAGGCTTATTCCAAAACTTGAGGCTTATTCCAAAACTTGAGGCTTATTCCAAAACTTGAGGCTTATTCCAAAACTTGAGGCTTTTCCAAAACTTGAGGCTTATTCCAAAACTTGAAGCTTATTCCAAAACTTGAGGCTTTTTCCAGAACTGTTGGCGAGCACCTCCGTTTGGCAGAGCTGTCTTATTTGTATGAGAGTTCCTTGCCTCTTAGACCGACTGACTTTGAAAAAAGCCCCCCACTCCCCCCCCCACTTACCACCCCCCCCCCACCCCACCTTTCCCCCAATTAGTCGCTTTCTAGGATAGGCCAACATTTGGAGCTCTAGAGCCAAGACGGACCGATTTTTATTTCAAGTAGAAATATTTGTTTGTTTGCTTCACTATAATTAATTGCTTTTGTAATTTGCCCCGGAAAAAATCCAGCGAAATGCGCAAGTCAGTCAGTTTTATTTTTCAAATTCACGTCTTGTTCGTTTCCTTTGTCCGGATCTAGAGCCGTGAAACATTGCCTTGATGCCAGAAGTATGTCTAAAGCTGTGAATCTTGGACAATATTAAACAAGCCAAACCATTTCTTTAGGCCTCTGAGATGTGGTTTTACGGAAGAAGCTTTAAAAACCATTCTTTTTATTCAGACGATGGTTCGAAGACAACTCATCACAGATATGAGAAGACAACTTATCACAGATTTGAGAAGACAACTTATCACAGATTTGAGAAGACAACTCATCACAGATTTGAGAAGACAACTTATCACAGATTTGAGAAGACAACTTATCACAGATTTGAGAAGAGAAGACAACGTATCACAAATTTGAAAAGACAACTTATCACAGATTTGAGAAGACAACTTATCACAGATTTGAGAAGACGACTTATCACAGATTTGAGAAGACAACTTATCATAGATTTAAGAAGAAAACTTATCACAGATTTGAGAAGACAACTTATCACAGATTTGAGAGAAACAATTTATCACAGATTTGAGAAGACAACTTATCACAGATTTGAGAAGACAACTTATCTTAGAGTTGATAAGACAACTTATCACAGATTTGAGAAGAGAAGACAACGTATCACAAATTTGAGAATACAACTTATCACAGATTTGAGAAGACAACTTATCACAAATTTGAGAAGACAACTTATCACAGATATGAGAAGAGAAGACAACATATCACTGATTTGAGAAGACAACTTATCACAGATTTGAGAAGACAAATTATCACAGATGTGAGAAGAGAAGACAACGTATCACAAATTTAAGAAGACAACTTTTCACAGATTTGAGAAGACAACTCATCACAGATTTGAGAAGACAACTTATCACAGATATGAGAAGATAAGACAACGTATCATAAATTTGAGAAGACAACTCATCACAGATTTGAGAAGACAACTCATCACAGATTTGAGAAGACAACTTATCACAGATATGAGATGAGAAGACAACGTATCACAAATTTGAGAAGACAACTTATCACAAATTTGAGAAGACAACTTATCACAGATGTGACAAGAGAAGACAACGTATCACAAATTTGAAAAGACAACTTATCACAGATATAAGAAGAGAAGACAACTATCACATATTTGAGAAGACAACTTATCACAGATGTGAGAAGAGAAGACAACGTATCACAAATTTGAGAAGACAACTTATCACAGATATAAGAAGAGAAGACAACTATCACAGATTTGAGAAGACAACTTATCACAGATGTGAGAAGAGAAGACAACGTATCACAAATTTGACAAAACAACTTATCACAGATGTGAAAAGTAGACAATAATCATTTTAAATCAGATGGTAATTTCATGAGAAGACTGAAACCCAAACATCTTGTGACAACTGGAAAGATATGTGGGGGAAAAAGGAGACAAAGGTCTACAGAGCGAGAGAATTTTGGACATCCTTTTAGAGAGATGTAAGCACACAAACAGGTACATGCTGTGTAAGATCGCATATTGTGGATAGACATGATCGCACACTCAGACAGCAAGGCTCTTGACGATGTCTATAACATCCTTTACCCACTGTTATATCTGTCTAGCTGTGCCTTTTTAGCTAGCACTATTACTTTCAGGCCATCCATCGAGGCTTCTCACCTAGACCAGTGGCCAATCAAGGCTAGGGAACTAGTCTACCCTGGTATAATATTACCTAAGTATCGTCTCCAATGCGCCTATGTGATGTATCTTCAACATAATGTGAACAGTCTAACTGTGTATACGGCACCCAACTAATGTTATACGGTAGCTCAGTCGTAGATGACAGAGACCTGACTGAGTAAAACCGGACTTATCTAGACGAACTAATGGTTTGACAATTCACACCTATAGTGAGTTTTCTACAGTTGGATCAGCCACTAATGCACGCATGCCGTGAGTTCCATTGTTGACGTATCACCCAAACATCTTGAAGAATGTGCCAAGCACATTGAATGAATCGCACATGTATTTATTGACATGGACTCTGCCAGCTATGTCGGCACTCCTTGAATTGTTTGACACCACGTTAGAGATCACATTGCTGTCACTGAAGGAAACATGCACCAGCTCAGAAATATTACCTAGTTACAGTCATTACATTCCAGCTTGTGGCGTGTAGCTCGTATGTTAGGGCATTCAGTTCTTCAGGTTTGTGTTGTCTTAATGTTATTAATCGCTAGAGGCTGGGCGATTATTTTATACAAGAGGAGGAAGTGTGTCAAAACGTGATTCTGTGGTTGTGTGTTGGATGTCTATCACTGCAGATAAGTGCATGTTGTCCAGGTTTGATACATTCCCGTACTTGGGAATTGTCGGCGTTTGTGATTTAGGCGATGCGAATGCGCTTCGTAATGCCAGAGTGCAAAGTTTGATACCAGGTGAAGACAACTTGTCTTGCGTTGGTTTCGACAGTGGTACCGAGAGCTAATCGTTCAGTCCCACAACTGCCATAGAATGCTGGGGTTGGTTCTGCAACGTCCTGTAGAGGATACGCAACCTACTAGCTCTCCACCGGCAATAGAAACTAGCAAACTCTGGCAGAAATACTGATTGAACATACACTTCTAAACTGTGGTTTTTTTTTCCCCAGTAGTTGAGTTTTGGGTGTACATCCGTTTCACCGATTTTTATACAAGACTGTTGGTTTCTCGCCTCTTAAACAGATATACGACTTTAAAGGAAACATTTCTACTCAGTCATTCTCTACGACATGCTTGTCATGGGCGACACTGACGCCCGCTTACCCCTAGTCCCCATGAAAAAAGTTTTCAGAGGATACATTGACAGGTCGACAAGTAATTGTTTAAGCTGCTACATACATTGAAGAGGGTGACATATCGTAGTGGCGATGCTGTTGGGGTAGTGTTAGTGGAGATAGTAGTGGTGTTGGTGGCCATGGTAGTGGTGGTAGTAGTGGTGGCGATGGTGGTGGTAGTGGTAGTGGTGGTGGTGTTGGTGGCGATGGTAGTGTTGGTGGCAGTGGTAGTAGTGGCGATAGTGATGGTAGTGGTGTTGATGATGATGGTGGTGATGGTAGTGGTGGTAGTAGTGGTGGCGATGGTGGTGGTAGTGGTAGTGGTGGTGGTGTTGGTGGCGATGGTAGTGTTGGTGGCAGTGGTAGTAGTGGCGATGGTGATGGTAGTGGTGTTGATGATGTTGGTGGTGATGGTAGTGGTGGTAGTAGTGGTGGCGATAGTGGTGGTAGTGGTAGTGGTGGTGGTGTTGGTGGCGATGGTAGTGTTGGTGGCAGTGGTAGTAGTGGCGATGGTGATGGTAGTGGTGTTGATGATGATGGTGGTGATGGTAGTGGTGGTGGTAGTGGTGGCGATGGTGGTTGTGGTGGCGATGGTGACCATGGTGATGGTGGTGGTGCTTATAAAGTACAATGAGAAACTGAGTGTGAAAACAAAGACTTACAAATATTGCCTTCGTCTGAGCCGTCAGCACAGTCAGCCATGTTGTTGCACAAGTATGTTCTGTTGAGACACTTGCCGTCTGAGATACATGGGAAGGTGTCTTCTGGGCACTTGGTCCTGAAGATGTGGTTTTGTCCCGTGGCCATGTGAGTGCCGGATACTGTAGAGGAAGGAGACATCTTTTTATTTATTCATTATTTTATTGTTTTTACATAAAAGAATGACATTTTTTGTGCAGGTAGCTAGAGAATCTGAGAAAACAACCACAGCCAAAGGGAAATAGGGAGAACAAACTAATGAAAGAACAAACGAAATTGTTTTCCTTTAAAAGGGTTACAGGTGGGGCACGAAGGTTCGGCTCACATTCAACCCTTCCAAACACCTTTCTTTCCCACGACAGTTTAATAAAGCATGTTATGTTCATCAACATTATGCATATTACGAACAGCAAGAAAAAACACGAAAGCAAGGATGGTAAAATGCAAGGGCACACACACACAAGTCCATTCACTCACGCACTAACTTACACACACACATATACATGCACACATACATATATATACATACATACACACACACATACACACACGCACACACATACATACACACATACATACATACATACATACATACATACATACATACATACATACATACATACATACATACATACATACATACATACATACATACATACATACATACATACATACATACATACATACATACATACATACATACATACATACATACATACATACATACATACATACATACATACATACATACATACATACATACATACATACATACATACATACATACACACACACACACACGCACGCACGCACGCACGCACGCAGACAGACAGACAGACAGACAGACAGACAGACAGACAGACAGACAGACAGACAGACAGACAGACAGACAGACTACACCTCAGCTGGCTTAAAACCAATCTGTAGATCTTTCTCTGATAGTTATTAGGTTAGTTAGTTAGTTAGTTAGTTAGTTGGGTTATCATCATTGCACTCCGGACATGTCCATAGGTGCTCAGATCCTCCCCTCAGTATGAACCCCAACGTCCGATGGCTAATAGTACCAGTTCTATGTTGATTAACAAGTCTTCTGACGTGTCGGGTGTGCGTCTCGTTTTTTGCTGTGCCGATCTTAATTCCCAAATCTGCCATTCTGGCGAGTGATGTGGATTCACTGCCACCAAAGTCCTCTATCCTTCCCATTTCTCTGAGGGCATTGATAATATCAGCATGATCCATAGGCCGACCGTCGGTAGTGATAGCGGATCCAGCCAACCTGTCAGCTCTTTCATTTCCATCGACGCCTGCGTGTCCCGGAACAAAAATAAAGGTGACTCCACGCACAGTGGACTTCTGTAATGATTCAAGCCATTGTCTTCGCACTGAACCTGCCTGAACCCTCCGGATCATACTCATTGAATCACTGAGTATACAAATGCGGGTGTATTTTTGTGTTTCAAGCCAGGCAAAACGCTTGCGTCACTGCCATCACCTCCATCGTCATGCTGCTGGTTGTCATGGAGAAGGCACCGTTGGCTTCTTTGACTGTTCTGCCCGCTGAGCGTGCTGTAAATGCCCATGCGCTTCTTCTTTGGCGTATAACGGATCCGTCTGTATAGATTATTGCATCTGCTTCGTCTGAATTTTCACCGATGAGAGCGTTGACCTCTGCATTAACAGCAACAGGATTCTCTTCTCTACATCGCCTGTTGAGTGTGACAATACAGGAAAATGTACAAATGAACGCCTGAGGCACAGGTATCCATTCTGCACCAGGTATGATGTCGGTTAGGCTGCATATTTGCCTAATAACATCTTCTGCCCGACCTAGCCACGATTTCCCCCTCTTCAGTCTGTCGCCCTTTTCACTAAAAAGCGCTTGATGCAGTGGGTGTTTCTTATCAGCACATATTTTGAGATATGCCCGAGCCCTCCACATCCTGATCCTTTGGTTCATTGTTGGAAAGTCAAGTAGATACCTCATTGCTCCACAGGATGTGTCTCTTGTACATCCCAAAATAATGCGCATGGCTTCATTTTGCACCTTTTCGAGTCGTTCAATCTGGGTAGCTGGTAAATAGTCGCCATCGGACGTCGAATATACCCTGAGGGAAGTCTAAACTCACGTGCATGTACTCCATTGCACGGTTCAGACCCCATTCCGATGAAACTTTCACATTATACGTGAGCGAAAATAGCTAATTTGCGCAATTCGCCTCAACGGACGAAAAAGCGTACCGCCATTGTGGCTGTTTACACCGGAAGTCATCAGTTATTAGGTTGCTTTAGGCAACGATCAGGTAGATTGACTCGCTGTTTCTGCACCACTTGGTGGTGAACTCATGAATGTCTAGCTAGATGTTCTAGGGGTCCTTTGGAGGCGAGTGAACAGTGCGGAGGCACATATAGATCATAACTGTTTGAGGAGAAAGGTACTGCGAAGACCATGGGATCTGGTCGACTCAAAACTCAAAGCAATGGAGAGATGGATGTGCTGGTACTTTTAGAATTAGGATTATGTGCTTTCTACTGAAAATGGCCTAAAAGAATTCCCAAGTGCGGCCACTGTTGATTCGTACCTCACAATTCAAGCTGACAAACAATCATAATTTATTAAAAGGTAAAAAAATGTAAAGTTGGAAGATGTGAGCCAGCGTCATCATTGTACACAATTATAAACCGTAAGTGCTTTGCCACCAGTACGGACAGCTGATAAGAAACTGTCCGCCTGTGTCGCCGTCCGCATGAAAAACCGTAGCTACAGTGACGTTCCTCCATTCACCCCAGAGTGTCAACTCTGGTACCCATTTCGTAGAGGCTGGGTGAACCCCGGAAACCGCCCGGTTTCGAACACCGACCGTGGCTGCAGCGAGTCGCAGCTGGATTCGAAAGCCAGCCTCCTATTAACTGCTCTAACGCGAATTTCATTTATTTTGGGACCTGAGTGCTGGAGATCCTGGGTTCAAGCCCCGGTGAAAACGGACATTTTTTTTTTTCACGTTGACATCTAGAAATGTCCCCTGGTCCCTAAGTAGTAGGACCGGGCGCCCGTTTGTATTGATTCGCATGTAAGAAAAAAACCTTAGCAGTTGAAATTTGAAAATAGTAGTCTTATTTTGCCCGGGCAAAATTTAGAGTTAAAAATCTACCTAAAAAAGTACTTCAGGATCCTCGCAAGTGACACTAAGTTCGTGCACTGCGATGAGATTCTTCAGACTCAGGCTTCCGTTAAAAGTAGAACGGAACACTTATGGGTTTAAACCCGTGTGCCATGATGTTGATTCGTCAACTAACTAAAGGAAACAAACGTTATAGATTTATTAATGCATGGCATTTACTTAGATTTTTATTAATCAAACAATGTTAGAATATTTGAGATCCAACCCACTCCCAACACGAAAATCTGTAAGCGTGGTTGAGATGAACACCCCCCCCCCCCTTCTCTCTCTCTCTCTCTCTCTCTCTCTCTCTCTCTCTCTGTCTCTCTGTCTCTCTCTCTCTCTCTCTCTCCCAATCTCTCTCGTTTTCTTTGGGTCGATACAAGTGGCGACAGAACGATAATATTAAATGTTTTTTAATGTTTCATCTCAGCAAGAATCGTGCTGTCACTTAGGTACTGTAATGTGTGATTTGTTGCTCTAGTCAATGCAGACACTTTACCGTCCAAACATATCTAGTTTACTTTAGTGTTACATTTAATTCAGACGTGTTTCTCCATTACATTTCTCCTGGCTTGAAAGACTCTCTCGTTTACTATGTCATTGCTGCTTTCTAGTTCTCTCAGTTTATTTTAAATTATCCATAACATGTTAAATGTTGAATGCTGAATTAAGAACAGACATCATGGCAATCCCATAAGCGCTCCGTTCCCATCTTCAGCGGCAAGCGAAGAGTTCTATTTCCTATGGTAACAGCAACTGTCAATGTCTCCATCGACGTATCACTAAATGTTAGTCTTTCCTGTGTCGAGTGTGAACCCATCTGTGTGCCAAAAGGGCCCTGTAATGAAACCGAAGAAAAAAAAAGGAACTGGTACTATGTTAGCTTTATGAGTTGAAAAGGCATTGTATAACTGCTATCAACTCCAGCAGAAAAATGGACAGAAAGACTTGCTCTTTGCATGAGCTGGTTGAGTCCTCGTGTGAATCCTCGGTTGGTTAAATGACTTTTGTTTTCTTTCAGAGCCAAGAAAATATATCTTAGACATATCGACTACTCTAGCTGTGTCGATTGCACTAGCTGTGTCGATTGCACTAGCTGTGTCGATTGCACTAGCTGTGTCGATTGCACTAGCTGTGTCGATTGCACAATAGTGTCGACTGCACTAGCTGTGTCAATTGCACTAGCTGTGTCGATTACAAAATTGTTTCGACTGCACTAGCTGTGTCGATTGCACTAGCTGTGTCGATTGCACAATTGTGTCGACTGCACTAGCTGTGTCGATTGCACTAGCTGTGTCGATTGCACTAGCTGTGTCGATTGCACTAGCTGTGTCGATTACACTAGCTGTGTCGATTACACTAGCTGTGTCGATTGCACAATAGTGTCGACTGCACTAGCTGTGTCAATTGCACTAGCTGTGTCGATTACAAAATTGTGTCGACTGCACTAGCTGTGTCGATTGCAATAGCTGTGTCGATTGCACAATTGTGTCGACTGCACTAGCTGTGTCAATTGCACTAGCTGTGTCGATTACACAATTGTGTCGACTGCACTAGCTGTGTCGATTGCACTAGCTGTGTCAATTGCACAATTGTGTCGACTGCACTAGCTGTGTCGATTGCACTAGCTGTGTCGATTGTACTAGCTGTGTCGATTGCACTAGCTGTGTCGATTGCACTAGCTGTGTCGATTGCACTAGCTGTGTCGATTGCACAATTGTGTCGACTGCACTAGCTGTGTTAATTGCACTAGCTGTGTCGATTACACAATTGTGTCGACTGCACTAGCTGTGTCGATTGCATTAGCTGTGTCTATTGCACTAGCTGTTTCGATTGCTCTAG